CAGATTTTCACAGTAACTGATTGCTTATCTAGACTCTTTCAGATAGGGGTCTTTGACACCTTTAAAAAGCAATATCTGTGTGTTTCTCACTAAATTGCCTGCATGCAACTGATTTATTCATGTGCAGAGGCCATCAGTATATCATATGCACAGTGAGTTCAATAAATCACATTTTAAGCATGCACAAATTACTGCTTCAACACGACTTACCTCTCTGAGACTGCAATAGAATTTAACACTTAAACCAAAAGCCCAGCAAAAGTCTATAACTGGTAAGACAGACAACATAGTGAAAGTAAAAATGATTTCAGGAAAGGAAGATACATTTGGTACTAAGGTACAAATGTACCTTAAGTACATTTTACATCCAGGTTTTCTAGAGCCCAACAGCTGTCAAAAAGTAGGACTTGGATTTTGGGGATGGAAAAGAAAAGGAGAGATGTTTAAGCTGTCATGTAAGTCATGGGTATGAGGTGCTGGCAGCCAGCAAGAGACCACAGATAATATTAGAAGGGCAAGAGGAGTGAAATATGCAAGGACAGCAGAGAGAAAGTGAGAGGAAAGTAAGAGCAGGATAGTGAGGGAGATTTGGAAATATGATTTTGCTGTGGAAAAGGCCTTGGAAGATGATAGTAGAAGTTTTAACGTAGAAAGCTGAAGGTTCTGGTATGCATCCTGGAGAAAGAAAAGTTTGTAATTTGATATGACTCTCTCTAGATAAAAACTTCTGAGACAACATGTGTGTGGAGCTGAAATAATGAGGCAAGAGGGTGATAAGGTTCAAGCTTTTCATGCAGAAGAAGTGGATCTCTGGATCTGAGAAGGATGGTGGTTTCATTAAAGGGCCTTAGTTTGGGGAAGGAACTGGATATTTTGGGAACTTGAATTTCAGTGGAGAGCTTGAGACTGAAAGCTTGGGGCATGAGATGAGAAGTTAATGAGACATGCTTGCAGTCATTCACACAGAATAAGTGCTGCCCTCTCATAAACCTTTCTAGCAATATATGATTTTTCTTTCTTGGAAATACAAATCTCACAGCTCATCTTAACTAGAAAATCTTGCAATTTAGCTATTATGTTAGCCTAATCAGAATATAATGCCTCTTGATGTGTGTATGGGAGAAAGCTGGCATTTATGCAAGAAGTTTGGGATGATACCTTGTTTGTCAAAGCATGAAAGTAACATAAAAACACCTGTATACTTGAAAAATTATAGAATACTTGGAAATTTTTGTTCTTTTCCTCCATGTACTCATCAAGTCTGCCAGTGACAACAAATTGGAAGACTCAGTGGTGGGGCTGCTATTCAGACAGGACAAGAAGTTGGAGAAATGCAGGTGCTGCATCAGACAAAGATCCTTTTGCCAGGCACCTCAAAAAGAAAAACAGACCCAAGTAGGAGATGGAAAATACAGTGTAAAAGAGCACATAGCAACTCAAACTGAGACCTTGTCAGAATGACACAGTGGTCTGTGTAAAGTGATACATATACAGCTGGTAAAATTTATAGTGATATTAAATTATTCACTTCACTAACGACAGTAAATTTGAACTTGACAACTAACAGTTCTTTTGATCTGTGACCTGGAGATAGCAACAGAAGACATTTTCATCAGGCCTGCAGAGAACAGCAAAGTTAAGGACAGATTGATAGACTCAACACAGGGCTACCATTCAGAGATACATTGACAAGCTGTAGAAATGTTCTGGAAGGACTCTGAAATTCAAAAAGGACAAATGCTGAGACCGGCACCTGGGAAGGAAGAGTCCTTGGCAATGAGAGAGGTTGTGCACTGAAAGCCTGAGGACAGATCTCTGGAAAGAGCCTGGGCATCCTGGTGGAGAGCAAGCTGTGGGTGAGCTGGAAGTATGCCCTGGCAGTGAAGAAAGCCAGCAGCATCCTGGGCTTTGTGAACAGGAGTAGGATATATGAAAAACTGTGGACGAAGCTTTTATCCCCTACTGCTCAACACTCCACATCTAAAATCCTGCAGTTTTGCCTTCCTCCCTTGTACAGGGAAGACAGCAGTAGACTGGAGCAGGTTTAGCAGAGTGACCCAGGTTTGGCTGGGATGCTCAGAGGCCTGGAGAACCTGACCCGGAAGGAGAGGCTGAAAGAACTGGCTTCTTCAGTCAGGGAAAGGGTAGGCTTTGGGGAGGATCTTCAGTCAGCCTTATCATACCTCTAAGGAGACCACCAAGAGGACAGACCACCTGTTCACAGTGTTCCGTGGCAAGTGGATGAGCATTAAGGCATATGAAGAGTTCAGATTGCAAGGAAAACATTTTCACTATGAGGACAGTCAGGTGAACACAGAGGCATTAGTCATCTCCATAATGCATATTATTCACTGTAGTGTGCTGTAAATCAGCTATTGCCATTTTAAAAAAGACATTTGGATAATACTGGGGTTAATTTTTTGAAAACATTTCATGCACAGCCACAATAAAAAGGTAAACAGGAATAATAACAAAATGTTTTGTCATTGTCTGGATTTGTGGTGATCCCACACCTCAAATTTTGCACATAATTTTAGATTACATCATCTCAGAGAAAAATAAAGGAGGGTGAAGCATAATGTGGAAAGGATAGTCTGAAGTTTTGAAGCTTTTTCCATACAAAGAAAATTCAAAAGTTCTTTTGTTTGGAAAGCATATTAGAGAAAACAGATACTAGAGATCTGTAAAATTATGAATGGCATAAAGATGTTGTAGAAAAGATTATTCCCTGTCACTCAGAGGCATTCTTGCATTAGCAATTATATCAGCTATAATAGAGCACAAAAATTGATGCTGTGAGGTCAGATGTCCACATTTGCATGTGAAGCAACTTGTAGTCCCAAGGGCTAAATGCCCATTAGTGGTTGAAGCACATTACTGGAACACTTCTGAGCTCTAAGAGCTCATCTTCTGTTTCTAGTGTTACCTGAAAGGAAAACAATTTATTTACTCCAAAACTGCTCCACCAAGGGACATAAAGTACAGTAAATGGAGTCAGTGTGAGATCTGGTTCACAAGCATGCATAGACACGTGCAATGCTGTTTTAACACATTGTTCTGGAAACAACTTCCAAAGATCTAGCTCACTAAGCTGCCAGGTGCTGCAAGGGCACATATGGGAAGGTCTCAGTCTATACTTGCATTTTTTCCTCACAGTCTTTCAATAGCTCTTCTCATCCATGCAGAAAGAAGAGTGCCAAAATTATGTACTTTGGTATATCTGATAACCTCAGAACACTTGTTCATACATAATTTAATTTTACGCAAGCACTTTTAATGTAAATGGTTATTGTAGCTTGCATATTATTCATTTGGGAACATTTTTAGAGTAAAATTTTCTATCTTGTACCTTCTATTTTCTAATTTTAAAAAAGTAGGTCAACTTATAAAATTGAGAGGATATTTTCTTTTTTTGTAGTTTTATTTAGTGCTTTGCTAGTACTTCATAGAAGGTTGCAAAGTGCAACAGATGTGCCTACTGATGCTTACTGAAAACCTTTTTGGTTTGCACACTTTGGTGCATATAAAAGTGTGATTTGCACAAAACGTTGTTTTTGTTATCTAGTAACAGGTTCCCACTAACAGTCTGCCAGACTTTGCCAGCACTGTGCATGCATATTCATGTGACTTCAGTAGAAGTTCTTGTTCAGAGTGTAGCAACACAGGCATATGCAAGAAAGTTAAATAAAATATATTTTTTGCACAAATACATGCCCATACATTAATTATTTGGGGACTATATTGTTTGGGGATTGAAATCATGTATGATAGGATTTTTTTTAAGTAGTAGAAAAATACATTAAAAGATGATTGGTGCTCCCTCAGGTCTTCTGTTTCATAATTCAAACCCCTACTCTATGTTGCTGTTCAGTTTTTGAGGAGCTCTACAGCTCTCAGCTTTTATCTGCAGATGGTTAAGAAATGTGGTTTACACTCTAGCTGGAAATACAAAAGGTATTTTTCTGTTCAGAAATTATTAAAGAATACAGAATGCATCATAAAAATTTCTCCTTCCATGAAAACAGAAGAAAAATCCAGAGTACAACAGTCCTTTATCAGAATCGGACAGATTTTCTGCCTTTGCAACACAGCTCCCAGGCTCTTTTTTGTGCCACAGCCTACTGTTTGACACAGCTGCACAGACTCTTCTCCAAACTCATGTCTTGGCATAGGGAAGAGGTCTGCTTCCACAGTACCTCTCTTGCTACTTGGAGAAGTCTGGGGGACAATGAAGAGAACAGACCTTTTGGCAGGACCCCACACTCAGGCCATCTTGGAGACACAGGATTTTTACTTCCACTTGACTTGTTTGCATCTGCCTATATATTTTTAAGGTGTTATCAGCGTAGAAACAGTGATTTAAAAATTGAATTTTCACCTGGTATGCATTATATTAAACATAATGAGCATTATATTAAAGCAAGCACAATTCATTTAGAAGATTTATTTATTTTATCTTTGAAAGATAATCTCAGATTCTAGTAAAAAGGAATTCAAATGTGTATCAACTGTTGAACTATGTAGGTACAGATCTGGATATTTTTGATTACCGAAGAATTCAGAATCCATCTTAGGGAACCCATTTTAGCCAATTACTGAAGATTCATTACAGTATATGGAGCCTTTCACTTCTAGATCACTAAGTCAAACTCAGTGAAAGAAGGCACCAAAAGAGAGGTGCTCATAAATCTGGATAACTTAAGCAGATATCATTACTTTATTATGGTAGAGAAATCCATATACAAACAAACAAACATATTATTTTCTAGACGTGGAACACAGAGTTACTTTTTAAGGAACACAGTGTTACTTTTTAAATCCTTCAAAATCAATTCCAAAGATAGCTTCTTGTCCAACAAAGTGATGAAATTTAGCAGTGAGGTGTGAGATTTCCCGCTTCTATTTGTCTTTTTGATAACTGGAGGAAGGAGTGTTAACTTTTTTTGCTAGTCAATCTGGTTCTTTTTAAAAAGATTTTTATCTCCTTGTCTGTTTTTCAGCAGGTTTTCGAAGGCGCTCAAATACTGTGACCAGGAGGCATTTCCCACATGCTGCTCACAGGATGGACTTCATGGACTTCGAGGATGATAGCCGTGGATGGCGGTTTGATATGGACTTGGTGATCATATACATTTATTCAGTCAACTGGATAATAGGATTTATTGTTTTCTGTTTCCTTTGTTATTTCTTTTTCCCTCTTTAGGCTGTAGAAATAACAGTTAAGGAAAATGAGAGTCATAGGAACAGAAAAATTGTGAATAGAAAAATATTGAAAAAAGGTTAAAATGTTTGATACTGCATTTTTATCATTCAGAATTGGAATAGACTGCATCAAGCATGCTGTGCAGCTGTTCGTTACTTCTATATGTGACAAAGTACTTGAGTTTGGTTACAAATGTAATGTGAAATCCACATCATACTTCATTCAGTGGGAGTTTTGCCTTTGGGAAATTTTGATGGGAAAAGAATTTACCCCTAATTTATAAAATGATTACTCTGTAGAAGTACTCCCAGTTTTTAGGGGAAGTCTGTGTGCTACAAAAGAATGTAATCTATAGAGTCATTTAGGGGTTTCACTCTGTGTTGACACACTTCACTCACTCATTGGTGCTTCAATTCCTCATACATAAAAGCAATAAAGATGCTTCCCATTTTTACTCAGATCCTTTGGGAGCAGAAGTGCTGTACCATGCATTGCGCAGATATTCATCAGAACTATTTCAGTGCCATGATCCAAATCCTGGAAAATTTTGACAACTGATAGACCTGTCAGCATTCCACTGTGATAGTTTGAGCCTATTAACCAAAAAGAAAAATTACACTGCAGTGTGCTGCCAGTTCATCTTCTCTGCAAATATTAATCAAAAGGAATCAACTAACAATCACAAGTTCTGCACAGTAAGAAGACCATTTTTGTGCAGATTCCCACTGTAGCACCATACCTTTTTTACCCATTCAGATGAGTGTGTTTGGATCCAGCAAGACTAATGGAGGGCAAGCAGCAGGCCTGTTGGCTATGATGCTGTTAGACACTGACCCAAATAAACACTGGAGACAGAAGCATTCTCCAGTATAAGAAATCAGTATCATTATTAAATTGCTGTAAAAATTGAGGATACTTTTAAATGTGGATTTTATGTCTCATGAGACCGGACATAAGAGGGCACAGTATTTATTTGCACCTTTCTTGTGAAACTATTCTGAAGCACTTTGTAGTTACTCTAAATAAAAATTGATGAGTTACAGTACCAAACTGCAACCAGTTCAACAATAATTCCAGACTTGCTATTTACACAGTATTTTTAAGAGGAAGAGCATCTATTAAATTATAGTACAAGATACTAGAAATGAATGTGGGAATCAGGTTTGAAGAATGGCACACAGTAGTTTAGGGTTTTACTTTTCAGGGAGGTACAAGGAAGTTTTTATTTCTAGTGGCATGACTCTTCAAAGTACACTGTACTTTCATCTAGAAAAGCATGTGAGTGTAGGTATATTGTCCCTCTAGTATCAGAATTTGTGTGGGAGACCTGTGGTTTTTTCAGTAGGTGGTGTACTCCCCTGTTCTAGCAGAGAACAAGGAGAAATATGTTGTGGAAGGTGCCATCTGCCAAATGTGATGGAATGAAGTCAGAGTTTTATTAAGAATGATCTTATATTCCTTTACTGGAGCAGCTCCAGCATGGTCAGCCTCTTGCAGGCTATGAAGAGATCCGGAAAAGAAACTTTCACTTAATCTGAAAATCAGCAGTAAATCAACTACAAATATTTCATTTCTAACAGGCTGCATAAAACAATCTTTTCAAGAACATATGAGTAGAACTAAAAATTACAAAAACTACACTGATTAGACTAAATAATCTGTTGTCTTTTTTAATATATGCAAATTTAAAGAGGTGTAAGAACTGAAATTCCCCATCACCACATACTTGTGGCTTTGCCAAAAATACATTTTTGTAATAAGAATAATCCACATCCAGGTGCTTTGTCTCTTCCTAAAAGTGACTGGCTCTATTATTAATGACATTAAGCATAATCTTTCTAAAGCTTTAAGGCTGGAATAAAGCATTTGGTGGAAGTATTTTAAAAACTAGGGGGTATAAGTCATACGCTCCTATTTGGCTACATGCAGATGTGTGGGTGTGTATGCTAAAATATTATCCACAAATTTAAACAGTTCTGTCATATATGCCAGGACTGCCATTCTAACTGCAATTTTTGTTTGCCTCTCTAAATTTCTGGAATTACAGCTCATATGTCAGAAAAGGGAGAGACCAACTCCCTGGTAAAAAAAATTCCTTCTACATTTTGATATCAAAAAACCTAAAATAAAAAATTGTCATGAAAAATTACTTTATGTGATATAGTCTAAAATTCCAGTAATAATATTATTTAAAATTTTAACGAGGCTGTCTGGTAAAGCAATATCCTTCAGTAAATATTCAAAAATATATTAAGACATAAGAAATGTAGTATAGAAGCTAACTAGTTATATAAGAAAAAGTTGCATCATTTTTAATAGCATGTTACCATGGTTTTATTTGAAAAAGGGCCACAAAGAAGAGTAAAAATACAATGTAATATTGGCTTCTTTTGTACATTTTCAACAAGAATTGATGACTGAGAGAGACATTTTTCTAAAGTTAGTAGGACGCACAGTTTTGCAAGACATTTCTAATTGTTTAACTCTACCTTTCTTCAAGGCCTAAACAGTTTCTTGAGCAATATTGTTTCATTTTATATGGATTGTTATTAATTCCACAGGAAGATTATTCTTAAATTATTAAAAATGTACATTATGAAGGCTTCTCCAGCTCTGAGAGATCAATCCTCCATAGGAGGAAAACACCGAAGAGGTATAGAGTGGAGATGCACATTTTTTTTCATATATCAGGATTTTTTGAGATACATACTTCTGTAAAAATGCAGAAACCATTTAAAAGCTTAAATTTGGTTTTCCTTGAAGTCTGCTGTAAAATCCTGTCAATATCTCTTCGAGCAAGAGCAGGTCCTTTGTGGGCTATTTTCTGGTTCAATTGATCCTGATAAGCAAGTGTGTATTTGTAACTATCGTAGTATTAAAATGTTTACAATAAAATTTGGTTTGTTTTTAATATTTTGCAGTCATTTCACTAGATTTTGCTTGGTGGAATTTTTTTTTTTTTATTCATTGTATTCTATGATATCCCTTTTGTTTTTGCTTGGGGAGCAGCAAAGTTTTGCTGATTTTTTCACTACTGGGATTAACTTTTTTTATATTAGCAGCCTTTTATTTATTTCATTACTTTCCAGGCATCTTTTGTCAGAAATCATCTGGGGGCATAGTCTGGTTCTTAACATATTCTGGTAATGAAGAATTCTCAGTACTGGCACTGTTAGTCAAGACCATTTAGCAGTTGAAGACAGCAGAATCCCAGGACAAAACTTAGGTATCACATTTACTGGAAAAGGACCTTCACGCCTGCTCAGAAGTGTGTGAGTTTTTTGCCAACCAGTGGGTATGTTTGTAGCTCCCCTACCTGCCAAAGGTTCAGTCATCTTGCTTCTCTCATGAGACAATTCTAAAAAAAAATCCCAAAAAATAGCTGCCCAGGGAGCAGCTGCTGTGAAGCACAACAGAGTCTTTCATGGCTTGTGCCTGCCTTCAGAAGCTCAGATCCAAGTGAAGCTTTTCCCAGTGTTCTGCATATACACCTCGTGTTTTTATCCCATGTCAACTGCTTCACTTAGTGATACTGAGATGGAAAAGAAAGAAGAACCAGTGTGTTTTGTCATTTTTACAGAAAATTATTGCTGATAACATGAAAGTCTGGGAGTAAGATTATCTATTGTAGCTATCATCTGACAAGTTACTGTCTTCATGGTGTGTAGTGTTGCTTTTTGGATGTGTTTTCAGGATCTTTTGTTCTTTGCTATCCTGACAACATTATAACTATGAGATGCACACTCTCCTCTGGGGAATTCTAGGTCACAGATGAACAGAAAAGAAAGATAGGATATCAAGAGCATCTGCTGGTGTTCAGCCCCATACCCAGGCAGAGGCTGTGAGGAAAGATGCTTTGGATTGCTCTGGATATGGACCAAGACACCAAGCTATCCTTAGACATGCCTTTTATTTACCAGAAAGTTCTAAGGCAGACAGTACTAGTATAAGGACTTAAAGATCACCATTTTCTGTCTCAAACACAGTTACCACAGAAAGACTTTTCCATGAGATAAGCACAGAATAGAGTGACAGAAGGGCCCAACTCCAAGCCTGGCAGATCTAGCTAGCACATCCTGGGTAATCAGACAAAAATTCACAGTGACAAAGTGTGTAAAGAATCTGCTGCTCGTATGCTTATCGCTGGTCAAACAAAGATCCTGATCAGCAGGTTATGGGACAACTGGCATCTGCAACCACCATGCCTCTGTGCATACCTGAAACTTGAACTGTGAATTAAGACACCATGAGGAATACATGAGACAAGACAAAGATGTTGTCTGAGTGTTATCTCAGGCCTAGGGGGAAGTAAACAAAGCTGGGGAGAAGAATGTATCAGTGATAATGGCTGAATCTATGGGCCAAGAGGAAAACCAACTCACCAGCTGTGCTGAAGTCAGCTCAGGCTGGGTAAAAGGTAATTCTGGCAGGCAGAGATTGCAGCCACCAACTCACAACCCAGAGGAAGACTGAGCATGAGACTCAGTATTAGCACTAGAAGTGAGGGAATCCTTTAGCGAATAGAATAAGAGAACTATGTAACCAATGACCATTATTTCCTTTGCTTACAAAAATGTATAAATAGTGAGAAGCTTTGAATGACCTCAGAACCCTATCAGCAAAAACCCTGGGTTAAGAAGGATCAAAAGGACACTTCTGGATCCATGGGTGGTGACTATCTTCTGCTCTCTCTTGCTTCCTTCTCACTTGCTCTCTCCCTCTCCCTCTCCCTCTCCCTCTCCCTCTCATTTTATTGTTAAATAAAATCCATTTATTGTTAAATAAAATCCTTATGGTCCCATTTGCACCTTAGTTCAGGCCAAGGCTTCTGTCAGTAATAGTATCCTTATGGTATCCTTTAAATCCTGTGAGGTGGATTTAAAACTGGCTTGAAGAGCAAGCTCATAGTGCTGTGATTAGTGGCACAAAGTCTGCCTGAAGGCGAGTAGCTAGTGGTGTATCCCAGAGAACAAACCTGCGTCCTATCCTGTTCATCATCTTCAATAGTGACCTGGATTCTGGGGCAGAGCATACCCTCAGCAAGCTGCAGAGGACAAAATAGGAAGAAGTGGATAGTACACCGGAGGGTTGTGCTGCTGTCCAGTGGAACTTTGACTGGCTGGAGGAATGGACTGACCGGAACATCATGCTGTTCAACAAGAGCAGTCCTGCACCTGGGAACAGCTCCCCCATGCCTTGGTACATGCAGGAGGTAGCCCAGCTGGAAAGCAGCTCTACACTCCCAGAAATCCTGGGAGTTCTGGTAGACTTCAAATTGAATATGAGCCAGCAGTGCATCCTTGTGTCAAGAAAGCTAATGGCATCACAGAAGATGGCCCTGCCACTTGGCTCAGCATTGGTGGGTCCATCTCTGCGGGGGCTCTGTCCAGTTCAGGGCTGCCCTGTACAAAGGGAATACAGAGTTATTAGTGAGATGCCAGCAAAGGACCACGGAAATTATTAAGAGAATGAAGTCTCTCTCATGTGAGCAATTCTGTGAAGTCATCACACAAGAATTGACTGGTTGAGGACTAGAATAAGGGAATTCCTGAATAAGGGGTAAAAAAACCAGAAATGTCTGAGGAGAACATCATGTTTTCCCTTAAAAACAAAAAGCAGTATAATGCTAGAAAAACTTGACCCACATTTTTATTCATTTCTATACTTTTCTGTACATATCCATCTAGAATTAATTACAATTTTCTCTTCTTTCACTGTTATCTTGATTCAATACGACCAGTCTCTCTTTGGTAACCAGTTCAATCTTTAAAAAGTTATTTTTCTTTTTACTGATTGAAATCTGTGGTTGTTGCAGTTCTCTGCAGTACTTATAAGAGCACTAAGGAAAGAATCACAGAAGGTTTAGTTATATTATTTCCATATTAGTAATCCTAGTGTCAGAAATTGATATGCCAACTTTAT